TGTAAGTTTGCTGCACTGAAAAAAATTTCTGGTTGAATATGGACGAATCAGATAATTCCTTTAGGATTTACCAGAATTCCTGTAATCCTACAGAAATTCTGGTAAATCCTAAAGGAATTCTGGTAAATCCTAAAGGAATTATCTGATTCGTCCATATTCAACCAGAAATTTTTTCAGTGTGCGCAAAACGCATATAGTTGTCTCCACTACTTAATGTGGGTGTGACAAGCACAGATATAGCTAAATATTACTATTTATTGGGGTTGTGCCAACCCTAATTAGACATGTGGTAACCGTATCGGTCTCTCCGTGCACATTTTATTACGAAATATCTGATTGAAATAGTAGTTTTAGATATTTTCGTACACAGATTTTATTCCCGCGTATGGAGGGAAATGTTTTTACAAATTCGTTTTTCTTACCGAGATGAGAAAACGTATCTATATTTTTGTATATGCGATTGATTATAGAGAATATACACATGTGCTTTTATTATATTATGTTATTTCTGAAAATGCAGCAGAGTTATTTTTGCGCACGCTAAATTTTTTAACAAGCAAACTTGCACATAATATCTATTTTTAATCTATATATTTCGATATATTCGTATTCTCTTGGTCTCCTGATACTTCACTCGTGAATGGCACGCGCAATTTTTGCATCCACCACGCGCAATTGTATTTTTGCACGCTTGCTTCTGCACGCGATCGATCCGCATTTGACACACCATCCGACGTATGCGCACATATATTAGATATTATCAGGCGGAAGTTGCATTCAGGTAATACGCGTGAGTGCTAAAGGCGATTAGCTGGATTCCGTGTCGGGATTATGAAAATTTATTTCGGCAAGTTCTGCGCTCCAAAGCATTATCCGAGCAGTTGATTAATTCTACTCATTTATAAATAACCGCATAATTGTATAATTACATGCGAGTGACGAGGTAAATTATTATTTCCATGACTAATTAATCCCGGCGCTCGCGCCGGGACATCAACGTGGGATCCATTTATACCGTACATTTCGCTACGTCTTTCACAACTGCGTTATCACGATGCATAACGCGTTTTTACATAATAAAATTATCCCCCCGAATTGGCGTGAAGAAAGGAAACAATGAAATGGCGAAAAGTCAATGCTTATGACGCATTTTTCCGGAACAATAGTACGGACAATAATATAATATTTAATATGTAATACAAATTACGTTTAAATGACATTTTGACAAGTGACCATGCAAATGGAAATTGCAGCTCGGATTTTTGTTTTGTTTCTCTGAGCTGCGTTAATTTTTTTTTCCTCGCGACGCTGACGAGAGCGGCACGACGAAGGGGCATATTAAAGTCCATTTTTACGCTTCCGTTCTTTTCACAGCAGTCAAGGGACATTTCGATGCATTGAAACGTTTTTCCGTTTCTTCTTCTTCTTCTTTTTTCGTCTTCTACGCTCCTATCGCGTTGCGTACTGTACAAAACGTGGCAAGCAAAGCGCTCGTCTTAAAGTCTCTCTCATTGCCGGAAGTATCCGGATGTACGTAACTTTATATCCTGTACAGTAATGTCCGCAATGAAATTACTTACCAGCCCGATGAAAAGCACGGCCGGAGAGAGCGGCAGCATCCAGCCGCTTTATATTCACTTCGTCTGCGAGCGCTTCTCCTCTCCTGCTTTTCATTTTTTACACGAACTCGCCAGGGGCGTTATACAGGACCTGGCATTATTAGCATCGCACGCAACGGATGCGTTTTGTGATCCCTTATTATCATCTCTCGTTAACACTTTCCCCGTATAATTTCTCCGCTCCGATATTTAAGCCGTGACGTGTCCCGCCAGTGATGCAACTCGACGCTCGGTCCGCCATGCATCAGTGACGCCGCTCAGTTATTTAGGCCAATGCACCTGAATGATTCATCTCGATATTTATAGCATCGGACGCGTCTCGAGACGCATTTAAACGTTTTCAACCTGCTACGGAGGAGTTTTTCGCTTTTGTCGTTGCACCTAACTTTGTGAAATACCACCGTCTATTTGATATAGGGAATCTCACCGTTAAGGCCAACTAATGGAATAAACCGACCGTTTCATCGGTTGGAAGGGTGAAACCAACTCATTAAAGCTGGGCGAAATTAGGTAAGTCGATCGGTTCAGAAGTTCGGCTTCAAAGATCGCCTGACCGGGCACAGTACTGTAATTGGATATGCATTCACTCGAACACTCCTTGCTGACACCTTTGCTTCGTGGTCCGTTGAATCATTCGCTATTGCCCTCGGTTATTCACTTCAGTAGCTTCGACAAAGTGAAAAGCAACACAGAAAAGATATACATTAGAATAGCATAAAGGGAAAGGTACAAAGATATAAGCAACTGGGGTATAAGGGAATTCACGAAACATCTGTTATTCTATTGAATGGAACATTCGGAATGTGACGTTTTGATTTTACTCGACTGTGCTCACCGACGCAGCGTAAATTATGCGCGAGAGTTGCGCAGAAACGTTTTTGTACGCCGCCGGGGGAAAATTAAAATATCACTGCGGCGCCTCAAATCTCTACCCCTGCGCATGATATTCTTATCTGCGTATTTATAGGCCAGCTAAAACAGGAATTCAGAAGCACATGTCTGTGTGTGTCCGAAGATAAAAATACCGATAATAACGCTAAATTGGTTCGAAAGCAGATTAAATGTAATATATCGGCAATCTATTGTATTCAATTCGCGTGTAACACAGATATGTGATGGTAGTAAAATGTATCTTTGTGCATATAATATATGCACATATACA